AATAGTTTTGCGAGGTTCCGATGGAGTCGTGGAACTAAGAAAATTTGGGGCATTTAAACTCACTGCCTAAGGAACATCACCAACCTCTGCGGATCTCTTTTCATACACGGGGGTTCAACATCCTTTCCCTAAGGGATTATCCTTATACACTGAGGGATTCGAAGAGGGGATCGAGGGGAACCCTGGTGGGGCCCATTCATGGTTAAAACCGCTCCTCTTCCCTAAGGTGATTTTCATGCATGCGGCCATTCGAAGTTCTAAATGGGCCTCTTTCTCCCCTTCAACAAGACAGTTCATGGACGAACAACCTCAAACGTGGATATCAGAGAAAAGCAAGATGATCCCTACGAGTTTGAATCATTTTACCTTTTGCTTCCTCATCAGCTGTTTGTTCTCATTTCTCTTTGACTAGAAATTTCCAAAGGAGATTCACACTATTTGGAGACAATCGCAAATAAGAAGGATGTCTCATAAAGATATGGCCCGCCTCCAGCGGACTGTTATGGAAGGCGTGCGAAACGTGGGCAATTCTGAATTCTTGCTCTAAGTACAGTCACTGACTCCGACTGCTCAGGTGATACGCTCTCATACTTTGCTCTTCTCGGCGACAGGGAAGGCCGCAGCACAACAGACATGGTCCGAATTGACCAATGGGATAACGGTCTTACGAAGAACCCTCAGTAAGCTGGAGGCGCACGCTTACGGTAATTTTTTTGGGTAGAGAATCCTTCTTGACTTTGTCTTCTACTTTGCAAATCACAACGCACCGTCGAACAGGTAGCGCTACAGTTTGAACGAGTTGTCCTGTACGTGCACAGCTACCTTGCGTCCATTTTAAAGGCATGTCGGGCAGATTTAAGAATTTGAGCTCTCACTAGATTATGATGTCGGGTCCCCTGCCTAAGCTATCTTCAAAGTTTAAGCGAATATCTCGCTGTGGTGAGCGAGAAAATTCCTCCAATGCCTAGGTCACTTTAGATCACTCCTCCCGCTCAGTGATTTCCTCCTAAGCCGCCCGTGTTTTGCTCCTCTCAAAAGCTGCTTTTCAATGGAAAGGCATGCAATCGTTCAGGGACCAAATGCCGAAAATTTGAAATCGCCTCTCTGGCACTCGTCCTTATCAATCAAAAGAGGGCCCAAAACCTCTGTTTTTCGAAATCACGGTAATTGAAGTTGCTATTTCTGTTCAACACATCCAAATAGTCCATAAAAGTTCCACTTTCGGAGTTAAAAATTTGCCGGACTGCCTTCAAGGAGGAATGTGGAGGAAAAGGTTGAATCTGTAAAAGACATTTCACAATAGAGCGCGAAGTGAATAAAGTGCGTTATAAAGTTTGCCACTCAGATCCAATGCGGCTATCTTTGATTCTTGGCATTGTTCTGATTGAATTCTCTCAGCTGAAAATTAAGCTATAGCCCAAGATTGTAGATTAACTTGGAGCATCTTTCGTATTCTGGACTAAATGATGTAGAATACCGTAATGTTGGGTCGGTGCTTTTCACAGATTTGAATTCTAGAACGGGATACGACTGACTTTTGTGCATCTGAAGGGTTTTTGCGCCTTTTACTATTAGCTAATATAAGCGCAAGAGACAACACCAAGCCCATAAATTGCAATATGTCAGCTGAGGGGCGAAGAGATACGTGAAGTAACCACCCATGTTCTCGTATCTGAAATGTGACGTGCAATTACACCATAAAGACGAGGTTACTAAATCGAAGGAATTCTTTTAGAAAGCTGCTTGATCATTATTTGTTTAGAAAGAATAGTCGAAGTTGCCTCGCAATCATTCTAATATGCATTGTTTGTGAACGTCATAGTAATAGGCACGATACTAGTTTTTAGACGAACAGTAAGAATCAAACTAATGCCTTTTCAGACGTCCTATCGACTCGTTTTGAAAGAGTAAATGTCAACTGTGGTCAAACAAAACGATCACATAGCGACAACTCTAGTGATCCACTCGATAACGGAAGCCAAATAGAGAAAACTTTCGAAGATGGACTATCTTTAAAGGATAGGTCGGAGGACGAGTTTGATGTTGTGCAACCAATAAGCGAGAAAGAACTTGGCGAGGTGAGCTGACGTGCGCGGTTGCGTCGCATGTGGTAGGCGTGTCCTTGGCCATAATGTTTGGATGAAGCGTGAACGCTGTTTGCTTGTAGGAATGGTCCACTGTTATTCGTACCATTGCCACTACTCTCCCACCTCCGCAATATTTCAAAAAGGGTGATAGGTTCTTAGCAAAAGTGCTCAGTGCTATTTCACCGCTTGAATTTTATGTAATCAAAGTAGCTCACATAAGGTAAGCAAACCAAAATCTCCACCTACAGTACCTGAAGATCAAATTCTTAGTGTGCTCCGTGAAATCGAACGCATTTTATCTTATTGCGATGAGAAGCTCTGTCGTCATCCGCTATTAGATTCACAATGTCGCCCAGAACACGCCTGCCTCGTCAGATTTGATGATATCCTTGCAAGAGCTAAAATTGGCCATAGTGGAGCTCACGAGATGCAGGTTAGTACCATTATGACTACAAGTAGGCAAACTAGATCTTGGTTTTGTGTGATATTTTAGGTATACCTTGTGGATTACGGTAGATCGCTCTTTATCGGTCGATCGCAATGCTTTGCAATGCCAAAGTGTATCGCTCAATATGCACCACCCCTGGCGCATAATTGCACCTTGAGCGGTAAGTTGATGCCGTTGGAAGAATAGTAAAGCCGCGGTTGTTTGTATTCATTGATTACTCCTATAACGTAGGAAGTTAAGTTCAAGGCATTGCAAGAAGTCGCATCCATCCAGATATAAAGTCCACAATTTGGTTTCCCTTTCAAAATCGCTTGCAAACGTTGTTGCATTCATAGTTTAAAAAATTAGAAGAAAAGGTACTCTTTCAGTTTCAGAAACGTTGGGTAGAGTAGGTTAGATAGCACGCTTATGGTATGACAGTCGCTTCAAGAATTTTCGAGCAGTCGTACGATGGTAGTAAACTTAAACTTCTTGTCTAGGAAGAAGGCTGCTGAACCTTCAGTTTGTTAGGTAAAGGCCATTCAAGGATTGTGAAAGTTCACATAATTACGACCGCTTCGCGCGTAGCATTAGCTGCCAATCAGGGTGAGCTAGTTGGCTCTAAGCCAAACATTTTAAAATCTGCTGTAGCTGCAAGTTCTACCGAAAAGGTACGGTTTTCACGGATTTTCTACTTATTTTCAGTTTTCCTTTTTTATTTTAGATGCAGGAGGGAACACAGGTTGAAGTGAGTCGTAGCTTTATCCATATTTCGTGTGGAATCGTTTATTTTTAACTTACAACTTCAAAACAAAATGCCGTACAAAAACTATAAAAAGTACAGTAAATGAATGAAAACGAATAAAACACAAAGAATATAAACACTGAGGATTGCATGCACATTAAACTCCAGATTATAAGGCGTAAAAAAAA